ATTGGCGGCACATTCTTGATATTAAATAAAAGCAACCACTCCCACGCAACCTCAGAAAACAAAGCACAACTGCATTTGAAAAGATAAAACCAAAGAGCCAAGGAATGCACTGCCCTCCCTTGCCTTCAGTCTTACCTGCAAGATGCAGCTCATGATATCGGACGCGATTTTGGCGTGTGGCGTGTCCTCGTCCTTTCCCGAGGGCTGCAGGTTGTGCTCCAGACAGGACTCCCAGAGGGCCACCAGAGCCCTGCCGTGCCGCCCGATGGACGCCGTCTCCCTGAGGGCCGTGGTGATGCGCGTGATGCAGATTTCCACCACTGCCTGGTCGTTGTCGTTGGTCTGGTAGTCCTGGTTCAGGAGAAAGGGCATTTGCCAATTAATACCCATCCTTTCCAAGGACCACACAAAATTAGCCTGAAAACATCAAATTCTTGTAACTCTCCAGCATCCATTTTCTCACTTCCACCTTTACAATGAACATTCAGTGTGATTAAACACAGCAGTTAGTCAGCCCACAGACAATTCACTGGTTTAGGCCTCAGTTCTCAGTATTACAAAGGTATGGATTATGTTATCAAATGATTTTTTGTACTCTGTCTAGAAACAAGGCTTTCTTGACCAGGGATTACAGCTCCACGCCTCAGATCCACACGCACAGATGTGTTCTCCCATAATCGTCCTAAATGAAACTGGAATTGTTATATCAACATCATGCAGAGCTAAATGTGGTGTCCCAAATATTTCACATCATGTCCAGTCCCTGATGTAAACACAGTTAGTTTCAATTAGCATCAAAGTAACAGGAATAAAAGTTAATTAACTAGGGGTTATGACAAAATCCTGTAATCCCACGCAATCACCGACACCGATGCCACGTGGATATGAAATGGCAGCACTTCACCATCACTTAAAAGACCCAGGAAACACAATCACCTTTGATGTAATCTATGCTATTCAACCCTAAAAAGTAACGAAGGGAAGACAGACTGAAGTATTACTCAAAAAAACATTGGTTTTGTTGGATAAAGTGTGTTCATTTTTAAAGGCCTGCAGCCAAATTCCAGTTTGTTTTGCAGAAGTGGGAGGACAGTGTCTCACAGCAGAAACCACTGCATTTGGGTCCATCTCAGAGCAATTCCCTATCTTTATTCAAGGCTGGCCCTCTCTGAGCTTTGCTCGGTGTGACAGGAAAATCCACACACTTGTTTAAAAAAAACAACGTATATTAGGGGTAATTTGTGTAAAATCCCTGATAATCTGCAGTTAGGTGAGTCAAAGTACATCACAAGCAGCAGATGCAATGGCCAAAATAACTTGCTTGATGTTCTGAAAGGCTGCGCAGATGTAATTGCTGTCAGAAATCTCCAAAACGGAGCCAGCGTGCAGTGTGTGCTGATGGACGAGTCGGTTCTTGTTGAACCAGCGATGCTGTGATCAATGCTCCCAGACTCAGAGGTTTGCACGTTGCCAAAATGGATTTCTAAAATCATGTGCTATATGAAGTGTCAGAAAAGTGCAGTTGTGAGAACACGTACATGTTGCTAATTGCATATCCTAAGGCTCAAAAAAAGATTTTTCATAGAATCATAGCATACCAGGTTGGAAGGGACCACAAGGATCATCCAGTCCAATCTCTCAAGGTAAAAGTACAGTTTAAATGAGATGAGTCAGCACCCTGTCAAGCTGACTCTTAACACTGACCAGCACAGGGGAATTCACCACTTCCTCTGGGAGATTGTTCAACGTCTGATTGATCTCATGGGAAAAAAAAATTATTATGGAGTTCAGTCGGAATCTCTCCAAAGCAACTTGTGTCCATCACCCCTCGTCTTTTCCATGGGACTCCTTGTGAAAAGGGAGTCTCCATCTTCTTGGTTGCCACCCTTTATGTACTGGTACATTCCCTTCCCTTCACCAGACTGGAAGCAGGAAGAACAAAAAGCTTTTTTTTCTTCTTGTACAGTATTAAAGTGTTTACCAAAATTGGTGATCCTACCATCATTCAAAATTTCTTCTGATACAAACAGAATACACACTATACATAGAGTGTACCTGTAGCCTCCTGTTAATCTTTAATGTTTAAATAACTATTTAATAAAAATTATGATATAGATGAACGTGTAATATCTTTAAAGGAAATCCAGCTTATGGTAACTGGATTTGGTTACCACATTTTTAAATCTTACACTTTCTTGGTATTTTTGAGGTTTTTTTAGAAACTTAAATTGTGTATGTCCCCATCTACAATATTTTATTTATACATTTAGTCTCGTGAAAAATGATTAAGGACAGCGTTTCACTTACCGCAGATGAACTAATTACTCTTATTTGTTCAAGAGCTTCTGAGAGGCTTCCTTCGATCTCAGCATCCTCCAAGGAGAAAAGATCCCCTGCACGAGAGAGGTCCTTTTGGGCCAAAACCAGCCCAAAGAGCTGATGCATGGCTGTGCTGGCTGCCGGACCTCTGCATCCACCGACATCAACGCCTCAGATGAGGACAGAATGGCAACAATCCCATGGACCAGCAATCAATTTAATACCAAGACTAAATCTAGGCCACATTTTAAGAATTCCTTGTCTCCAATCTACGAGGACAAGGAAAAAAAAAAAGGAGGGGCAAAATTAGCAAATGCACTGAGGGTCATATTCCAAGATAGCAGAGATTTTTAAATGGTTTATGGGTATAGTACACAGGATCCCCTGACCCAGTGACACCCTTAAGTGCGTACAACAAACTGCATGTTGAAGGACCTTTTACCCTTAAACACACTCAATAGCTTAAAATTTGCTACACAATACGTAACTTTTAATAAATAAGGACAAGCTTTTGTCCTTTTAATGTGTATCACCTGAGCAGGATGGTGGCTGGACAAACTGATAAGCATTACAAACCCCCTTTCTGCAATCAGCAGCAGAGCAGAGCTAGAGGTGGGTGAAGCCACTCTGTTTGGTTTTGGGTTGTTGTGTCTTGACTCCAGAAATGCACTATTAGCAAGATCGAGAAGATAATTATTTTTGTTTAGAAAAACAGTCAGTTTTGTTGCCAAAATGATCCCTGCAGTCTTTTCAACTCATGTAAAACAAACACTTGGCTGAGCTGAAACTATGCACTTCTCTTTGGCTGGGAATTCAACAGAGGCCCAGCCAAGTAGGGCCAGGCTGGGCACCACACACATACTCGGAGAGGACAGTCCTGCATTTGTACCCCAAAACCCTGGTGCTTAAAACATCCACAGAGGAGACATTTGCCTTAGATATAGGAGAAGTTTGGGGTTTTCCACATTTCAGAAGTGCTATTTGTTATTTCAAGACTGCCAGGATTTGCTTCGTGCTATGGGTCGCTGTGCTCAAACACCTTGAAGTGAGGGTCTTCATGGCCAGTCTCAGTGCACATGAGGAAAGGACCAACAGCACAGGATCCTTCAGGCCCAGAACACCCCACGGGGCTTGGATACCTTCCTTGGGCTTCACCAAGGCAGGTACAAATCCATGTAGGTGGAAAATGTCTGTCCTTGAGTCTTCCGAGGGTCTCTATGGTGGCCCTACCAGCAGGAACACGACAAGGGCCATCTGCTGTTTGGGACCCTACCAAGACAGGAGTGAACCACACAGAGGACATTCACCAGCACTCAGAGCAGCCACGGTGGCCAAAAGCTTTTGCCAGCCAAAGGGGACATGAAGACACATAGCCATGAGAAACTGTGAAGTAGGCTGCCATTAGGTGCTGGTTTTGTGAATCAAAACTTCTTTCTGAATTGAAATAAACATACTTAACTGTAAAGGAATTACACATCTATCATATGTGGGTATGTAACAATCTAAACAAGAAAGTCTCAGACTAGCGACTGGTGGCTGTCTTTGCAGGAATACAAGAAATACATGACTATCTAGCCGACCAAATTATGACACTGAGGTAGATACATACTCCAAATATGATATTCATTTATTCAAGAGTTTGAGTTAGCTTCAAATATTATGCACTGGAAAAGCAGTTGCTAGAACTACATCAGTCTGCTTCTGTTTGTGCACATCAGTTAAATGACCTAGTCTGTGTCTCAAATGTACCTTTGTATAGAGGAATGGAAAGTGTCTGAGATTTTACATATATTAGTCAAACCAGGTTCATTGTAATTATCATTTGAGATACAGAGTATCCTTAATCCCTGTTACTCTATTTTATGCTATTTTTCAGGGGGTAAAAAAAGTACAACATGCCAAATAAGAAGCAAAACCAATACAAAACACTGAGAACCTTCTGGAAATAACTCAATGAAGCAATCTCTATTTTAACAGAATAGTCAGCACCTTGCACTTACCTGCCATAAGCCTGATGGTAAGGTTTTTTTAATTTTCCTGAATCTGTCAATATCATTACACAGGACTTTCAGTTTGATTATTTGCAGCAGGACAGAAGCAGAAGAGAGCCAGTAAGATTGCAAACCCCGAAGTCTGACGGACAAGATCCTCCCGACTATTGCTATGGTTTAAATCACCAGACACCAACCTGGAGGGGAAGGTGTGAACACAGAGGAGTCTGGGCCTATCGTGCTCACACTCAGCAACTCCCAAATTCAAAAATAAAAGCTCAGAAAGCTGCAGACTGGTTTATTCTTTTTTCCTTTACCTGTTCATGATTCCTCCTGAGCTCCTCAGTGATGGCTCCAGGGACAAAGCTTGTGATTTTGGAGGCAAAGCCTGACCCTTTGCTTCACTCCCCTCCTACCCCAGCAGCATCCAAGGGCACAGGGAAGTCAGGGAGCGGGTGGCAAGCAGGGACCTGAGGCTGTTCACAGCGGTGCCAGGAAGGAGGCATCTCAGGAATGCAGGCTAAAGCAGCCTAAAAGTTACCAGTGGCTCCATCAGGTGACTGAAGGAACTCAAATGCAGAGAGGCCTTATCGCTGAATGAAACGCTCTGTTTCTGGGACAAAATACAAAGCCTGCTCCACTTGAGGGCAGTTGTTTTTAATAGAGAAAACAGAACTCTCTGTGTTAGTGGAAAGCTATCCTTCCCTGGGAAGAAGGTAAAAATAATACTCTTGGTAAGCTCACACTGTTGGAAAAAAAAAGAACAGGTGAGCAGGCTTGCTACAGCAGAGATTCTCTGTCCAGAGGAATAAATGCTATCATTCTGTAACTCTTCACATGAACACAAAAGAGGGTCTGAAGTTTGCCTTGGCTTTTCTCACGAGCAGCACAACAAAATCTGTGCACGTAATTTTGAAAAACCCTCTAGGAAGGAAGATCTATTTGATCGCTGCCTTTGATCAGCTGCACCAAAACACAGCAGCCCCTTCCTGGCCTTTCGCAAATGCTGTTGTGCTCAATGTGCCCTTGCAGAAGAGGAGTTTCTTAAAAAGGCCCTGCTCTACCTGATGAGCAGACACTTTTTATGTGAGTCCTACCCACAACACACGGGACAATACAGAAAAACATTTACTTACTATAAGCTCTTTGAAATGGAATTATAGCAAATCTTCTTAATAGTTACACTATGTAACAGTGCTGGAAATAATTTTCTCACATAGGTCTTAAAAGGAGAGAATGGGCCTTTAAGCATCTCCTTGCTCACTACAAGATTATACTGTGTCCTACTGAGAGGTAGTTGGCACTGAGGAAAAGAGTAATATTGGTGTCTTCTAAAAAGCTATCTTTTAAAAAACCATATTTTTAAAAGAGAGTTAGGTTGGATGATAAAATTGCTTAAGGATGTGGTTCCTGAGATGTCTCATCAGCTTGACCTCGCATCACCTATCAGCATCCTCTCACTCAGATAGGACAAAGATTACTGCATCTGTCAGAGCAGACATATCTGCGTCCTGTGTACAAAAGTAGTGGAAAAAAGGCAAAAGGTCTTGCTAAAGTTTGTAAATCTTGCATGGCTCCTGATCAACACAGTGTCTGGGGGAGTCGTAGCAGGGATCCATTCCTTCCTGTGGCCAAAACACAGTGACTCCAGTGTTGTAACTAACTAAAACTCATCGTTATGCAGGGAGAAACAAAAAGACACTTTAAACAGGCCATTTCCACCGGTTCGTGGTGCAGCCCCACATCTATTTCAAAGTTTTGATTTCCAACACCTAATTTCCCTTTTTCATGACTTGCTGAAAGAGCCACGCGCTCCCTGGGACCTTGAAGCTGCTCCCCTCCAAGGTGAGTCCCTCGACCTGCTGGAGGCACCGCATTCTTACCAAAGCTCCTTATCAGAAGCAATCAGAATAAAAGCTAGCCTGACAGGTTTCAGAGCTTGGAGCAATTGAATCGGTCTGTTTGCAAAATAATTCCCCCAATAATAAAAGATTAACAATCAAAATTCCATGTAAAAGGGCAGTTGGACCTAAGGGCATCCAAAAGCCAATTGAACTTTGAGCTGAAAGACTGAGTCTTACAGTTTTATCAGGAACTCAGGTTCTGCAGAATGACATTAGAAGGACAAAAAAATAATCTTTTAAATCAAAGAGAAAGCAGAGAGGATAAAAAATTTTAAATTTACAGTGAAGGAAAGTCTACAAGAAATTAGAATAATTTCCTTAACTTTCAAAGGACTTGAAATGAAAGTATGGTTGCTTGGTTTTACCAGATGGTGCTATCCCACTGAAAACAAAATTGCAACCTTCGAAGAACTGTGTAATGACATTATTAATCTAGTTCCTCGCTAAGCGACATAAATTGAGAAAATCATCATTATGCTTGAGGAATTTTAGGAAATGCAGGCCACCTAGAGTTCATGTTAAGTGAACTTTATAGTATCTTCTGGTTTGCTCATTGCAAAGCAAGAGGCAATTAAAACCTTACTGTATTGTTGGACCAATCATGTACATGAGCTCCCGTGACATTGCCCTTCAGAAGGGGGTCAAGTGTGCACAGTACCAAGTCCTGAGCTAATCTGTATCTACAGCAAAACCCATAACCCACTGCCATCAGGGACAGTTGTGGTTGAATACATCAAGAGACAACAGACCGTGCAAATCATTCCCTTGCTGGAGCCATGCAGAGGACAGGGCATTGAATTAAGGTTGGAAAAGACCTCTAGGATCAAGTCCAGCATCAACCCAACTCCACCATGGCCACTAAACCATGTCCTGAAGTGCCACATCCACACGTTTATTAACACCTCCAGGGATGGTGACTCCATCACTGCCCTGGGCAGCCCCTGCCAGTGCTTGACCACTCTTTCAGTGAAGAAATTTTCCCTCATATCCAACCTAACCCTCCTCTGGAGCAACTTGAGACCATTTCCTCTTGTCCCATCTCTTGTTACTTAGGAAAGGCATCTGACCTCCACCTCCCTACACTTACCCGATAAACAAAAGGTAATATTCATTTTTCCGAAATATTAAAGAAAGAAATCTAAAAGGCATAAACTGGTTCAAGAAAAGGTAACTTAGATGTAAGTGTCAAGTAAATTACACAGGAGAGGAAGGTGATCTGAGACTTCCCTTT